CCCCAAAACCCCAAAACCCCAAAACCCCTCAATAAATGCATAACCAATTCTAAGCATAAAATTACTTTAAATCAGAAATTAATAAAATATTCAGAAACCATCTTCATAATCAATAAAGTGGGTATTGTCCACATCATAAAATTCCTACTTGATAGCATTCCTTCCTCAATATTTAATAATGATTAAGAAGCAGTTTCATCAGGAATGCACTTCCTCTCAATAAATTAAGCAATCTTATGAGATTCATCACTTTGAATGAAGATTGCCATTATTGAGTAATATGCAAAGAAAATATATCCTAATGTCATGAATTTGAAGAGGATCTAATGCTTATGCTGATTCATCCAGCAAGTCCATAGAAAAGCAAGAAATAGCACCAATAGTATAGCATAATTAAGATTTTCAAGTTCTTAGAATTTTTTAATTAATCGCACAAACTCTGATACTTTAAATTCTTTGTGTGAATTACACTCATGAGAGTACTTCATATAGTTTTGGTAAAACATATGATAATACTAATTCTTGAATAGGTCTCTGTCGTAAATAGTCTTAATGTCGTGTCTGTGTGGGTTATAATTATCTATCTTTGGAAATATTCCATTCTCATCAAGCACTCGGTATTCCTGAATCTAGAAATTGTCAACTTTTTTAAATAGCTTGTTTTCTGATTCATCTTCAGATAAAAATGGTTTTTCCTTGCAAGAATTCGGTTATGCAAATATCCTGCTAATTTCTCTTTTATTTTTATAGCGCTCTCCGTTTTCAATCAGACACGGGTAAGGTAAAAACGAGAGTTTTAAATCAACAATCGGTTCATCACTTCCTGATACCGAGAAATAAAACCTATCATAATTATCATTATGGAGGGAATTAGAAAGTTTATTTTGCTCTGGGCTGTATTGATTGAAATGATAAAGACCTTGCTGGAACAAGGGATCGTTTTACAAGTCATAATATGTTCTCTTTTGCTCGTCTCTTTTGTAGCAAATCTTGAAGCCACCTAACTGATCAAAATTTTTAGTCCATAATACTGTATCATCATAGCCATTGTCATCCTCATTCTCCTTTTTGCTGCAACTTCCCATCTTTACAGTATACCAAGTCATACAGTACCTATTTGTTCCATAAAATGGAGCAGTCAGAGCTTAGTATCCATAAGGACAACTTTCAGATGAACTTATTCTTTATATTTCTGTAATAGGCTGCATATTCCATTGATCAATCAATTTTAGAAAGGATTTAACTTCAATTGCCTCTGGAATGAAAAAGTAGAGAATGAAAATGATGATTCCTTCAATGACTAAGAAAACTGACTTGGCTTCTTTTCTTTGCTAATTATCTATGGTTTAAAATAGATATTACTCCAAATTTGACATATTTGAGAAATACTTTTCCTATTTATTTAATGATTAATTAGTAATTCCCAATCTCAAAATTATTTGTGTCTGGTGGGGTTTTGGGGTTTTGGGGTTTTGGGG